CCCCCTCCCCAACCCGCCTCCCGCCCGCCCCCGGGGCCCGGCGGTGCCCGCGCCTCCGCGCCTCCGCGCCCGCCCCTGTTTCCTCCGCACGGCGGCGGCGGCGGCGGCGGCGGCGGCGGCGGCGCCTCGTGCGCGCGGTTATTTATTTATTTCCGGGCCCCAGAGCGCTTATAATGGAGCCGCTGTCAGCAGAACCTTCTGCTGCCGCCGCCGCCGCCGCCGCCGCCGTCCCTCCTCTTTTTTTTCCCGGCAGATCTTTGTTGTGTGGGAGGGCAGCAGGGATGGACTTGAGCTTGCGGATCTCCTGCTAGAGCAGCCGCGCTTGGAGAGGGCGCCGCAGCCGCGAGGAGGAGCCGCCGCCGCCGCCGCCGCCCGAGGCCCCGCCGGACCCGGCCTCCGTCCGCCCGCGCCCCCGCTCGGCCCGCGCCTCCCGGCAGAGTGCCCTCGCGGCGGCAGATGTGTGTGGGGTCAGCCCACGGCGGGGACTATGGTGAAATTCCCGGCGCTCACGCACTACTGGCCCCTGATCCGGTTCCTGGTGCCTCTGGGCATCACCAACATAGCCATCGACTTCGGGGAGCAGGTAAGCCCCGGCCGTACCCCACGCCCGGCCCGGGCAGCGCCGCCCTGCGCCCCAAACCCCGCGCCCTGCGCCCCGGTCACTCTGCCTCGGCCTTAGACGCCCGGTCGCCAGGGGATGGGGGCCGAGGGGAGTCACCTGCTCCGAGTCCCTTTTTATCCTGGAACATTTGGTTGCGTTTGCAGCTTGTCAAGGATGACTTTTCCAGCTCTTCGTTTCCCCCTCCCCCCCAGTTATTCAGCAGACTTTTCCATCTCTCTCTGAAAACGTTAAAAGACAGAAGGGTTTGAGCTTCACCTATAGAAGGGTTTTTAGTGCACAGCAGGAGTATTATGTAATTTATTATTATGTAAACCTCAGGTCGGTAAGTAAAGTGTAGTTTCTAATAAGTCAAGTGCTGGTGTTATTTATCCGGGGTTGGTGTTGATGGTGATGGTGATGATGGGGGAGATTTTGTATTAGAATGTGTCCAAGTTGATTTCCCAGGTACTTCTAATTTTTTTTTTTTTTTTAGCCCAGGTATGCATTAGGGGTGTCCAGATAGGTCCTGAGAAGCCGACCCATTGGCATCTCTAGTTTGGGATTTCTTTTCTCTTGCATCACGAAAGAAGGGGAGCACATTTTTGTTTGTTGCTTTCTCGTCCGTGTTTCTTTTTCATGTTTTTCCCCATTTCTCTCTATGTGGCGTCATTGCAAATCTAGCGCTGCAGACTCGCCAGCAGCGGAGCATTGGTGCTCTGCACTTTCCCTCTGGGGACCGTTTTCGCAGGGCCTCCAGAGGGATGCAGTTGCATTTTAAGGCCGGGAAGAGGATGGGGGGGGGGGGGGGTGGTATCTCGCCACCTTGATGGACAGATGTGGGAACTGGCCGGGGTTCGTGGTCAGCAACGCTCCTGGTTTGTAGTACTTTCTTTTCCTTTAAGTGAAGAGACTTCAAAGGATGTTTATATAGAAAATCCACCCATTTTGATGCACTTACAGAATTTAAAAAACCAAACAGTTTTTCAGAAGGGGGTTTGTTTGACTCCCTTTGATGAATATCTGCCTGGATTTGTTTCTCTGTGCTCGAACTTTTGATTGATTGCAACTCTATAAACTCCATAATACTTAGCCCACGTTGTAAGCTACTTTTTACTTTGAATCTTACTGCTGATAAGTATTCACAATGTAGCATAGTCTCTGGAGACCTTTGTCTAGCTAGTAAGCCAACTAGTTTTCTTTGAGGAAATATTTTATCTTTTCTGTTGCCACTTTGCCCTGCCACTATCTCACCAGGGCCCTCCAGGGTTTGGCTGCTGCTCCCCCTCTTTCCTGCCCACCTTCCCTTCTTGCATAATTAACTTGTGACTTTGGGCATTTCCTATCATCGGTGGAAAGGTTTTTAGACCTGAATTGACTATATTGTACATTTTAGATGAGTCAAGCTCTGTGTGGTCACCTGAACCTTTCTCTATTTTGAGGCTTATCTTCTTGGAGCTGCCCCAGAGGTTGTCAGAAAGCCTGGGCTGCTCTCCTGATCACTTCTGTCTGAACTGTAGTGTGTGTGTAAATTAAATAGGGACAACTGGAGGAAATAAGAGTATTCTTTGTCTTAATTAAATGGCCTGAAGCATACCACAGTATGGGCTCACGTTTGCCTTGATTTAATACAAGGCTGATAGAACTAAGGATTTGATTTTAGTGTAAGGGAAAGGATCTCCTGAGGTTACAAAAGGGAGGCTAGACATAAGAGCTATACAGATGGTTTATCCTAGTGGGGCTAATAATTCAAACTCATCCTTAAGACGTCGCTAACCTCGTTATTACAGCTGACATAAGCAAAGTACTAGAAGAGTTGTCTTTTGCACAGAAGCAAGTTTTATCAACAAGTGTTGTTTGAGGTTCTTATCCTTTGAACACCAGTGTATTTATGAGGTTAGAGGCTGCCTGATGGTGGAGATATTTTATCGGAGTTAAGGGTGGAGAGATGGGGGCAAGAAATCGACAGGTCTTCAAAACCTTGCTTTGCCTTCTGGTATCAGATGATAATTGTTTTGCAGAATGGTTCAGGGTGAGAAGAAAGGATCTTGCTTTTTCTTAGTATTAAACTGGAGGGGAAGATTGACAGTGTGAGGCACCTGGTCATACGTGGGTAATGAATAGAAGAGCGTTTTACCCAACTGCTTTGAAGCACAATAAAGAGGAGGAGCGATGAACCTATTTGCAGACGTAGGTCTACATTAGACTTCTGAAAATATGCAGCTCTTGGCGTGAATGTTTATCAAGTTCTAGACAGTTGGACACGTGTAGGTCCCCACCATTCTTCTTTCAGAGTGGGCGGGTGTGTGACACCTTGCAGTGAGTGCACAATGATTCATATTTCGGTAATTGACTGATCCTAAAGTGGGGAGATGGCATGGGAGGACAAGATCAAAACAGCCCTGGTTCACATGCTTTTGAGATGATCAAGAAATGCAAAATTAAAAAATAAAATATCTCATCAGCTTTTACGTCTCTGGCTTGTCAAGAACAAAAGGATAGTAAAATCATTTTCAATGTTTCTGAGATGAGATTTTTTTTATGATTATAAACATCACACTTTGTGGTTTCTGTATAAAATGTGGAGAGAACTTTTAAAATGGAAATCCAGCTATAGACAAGATTCCACTGAAATCTGAATAAGCAGCACACGTGTGACTGTGCGGAGGAATTAGACGTTATCTCAGAGCTATTAGTGCGTGGGGCCGGGGGCAGGGGCTGTGAAGAAGCCTGTGACAGTCCATCCCGAGCCTCCCGATATTCTCCGTGAACACTATCTGTTGTATATTGATTTTCCTGTAATTTTATAGTTCAGTCAGGGAGGAAACCCAAATAGTGTGGAGTATTTGTTCTAATAAGACTAGCAAAACCTATTATCACATTTTTCAATTTTGGTGGTGGCAGTAATTTGAGGGGGCAGGAGGGTTGGATTCTACACTGAAAACAAAAAAGCTATATGGAATAGAATGACCTGCTTTTTAATGTTAGATATAGGCGCTACAGAAAAGAATAAGAATACATCCATTATCACAGACACTAAAAGAATATTTAAAGAACCCTGTAGATGTGATATCTTTATGATAATTGCAGTATATGTGGAATTATTATTATTTTATCTGTATTTTTACAGACTGAGAATCAAGTGTTAATTGCTTCCAGTCGTTGAGGACTTAGTATGAGCTTCTAACATCTCAGCACATGTTATGTGAGAGGAAAGAGTGAGGGACCTAGGCACCTTACCCGAGATCACACAGGCAGTACAGAGCAGAGAGGGCTTCAAGCCTAGATCCACCTGGCCCTTAGCCCTTCTGCTCTCTGCCTCGTGCGGTCAAGCTCACGCACTGAGATCTGCCCGGGAGTTCTTAGAAATTTAGGAATAAGTTCTGGCTTTTCTGATTCCCAGCCTAGTTTCCAATTTAATCTTAGCTGTCATATTTTGAAGTCTGAAGACTCAACAGATGTAGGACAGTCATTACGAGGGCTCCCAGGAAAGGGAGATGGTGACCAAGAAGTTCATGTACAAAGAGCTGAATTCTCCAGCTAATTAATTAAATCAACATCGTATCTTATTTTGACAAGGTTGGTGTAGCCTTTGGTCAAGAGGAGGAAAAACGATAAGAAATAACTGATACTTCACGATAAAATTATTTGGAAATCACTTTTCTCATTAGAGCAATACAGATTGCTAAGGAAAGAAGGAAGATGCTAAGATTGATTTTGAACAATGTATTTCTTTAAAAATGCACATTTGATCTCCCCGTGTTCAAAGGATTGTTATTTCTGTTTAAAACTAAACTTGGTACAAAGTCCCTGAATTCCTTAAAAGCCAAGTTCACCAAATTATGTAAAATAAATCAGTGAACTTTTTTTTAAGGTACTTAGTAACACTTAAAATGTTAAGGATGACTATGCTTTGCAAAGACTTTGAAAGAGAAAAGAAAGTTGAAATTGATCTCTCTTAAGAAGAAGTGCGTTCTGTCTAGTGCCAGGTAACCCACACTTTCACACTCAAATGATAGCTTTAGGTATTTCACATTCCCCTGAAGGATCCACTGAATTTAGTTGACTCCAATATGATAATTCAAAGACCCAAGGTGTTTGTGAATGAGGAGTTTTGCATATAGATTGTTAGAATTACTGGAGTAACTAAGATGCGTAATAAGAATGTAAAAATGTTTCCCCAGCCCCTCTTTCTAATTTAGGAAAGCCCTTTCTGACATAAGAAACTTGGAGTTAGGCTTCCATAGTATAAGAGGGTCTCAAATTATTAATATCACAAAATGGAAAAAAAAAAAAGAAGCCCAGGAAAAATAGCTTAATAAATGTTCTGTCTGCTAAGTAGAGAAATGCACCCCCTACCCCACCAAAAAAGGTCCTTGTTAGACTAGGAGGTACAGGAATGAAAAAGGGTGAAGGGGGTGAATGTAGTGTATGTCGCAGGTCACTGTTGGGAAGGACTCTTCATCAAGGTCACTAGGTGATGGAAGACACCTCCCCAGGCAGAGCCTGTCTTTTAAGTAATAATAAAAATGTCCATTGTGTCTTCCACTTTCCAAAGTACTTAAAAACAGAAATGTAAATCCCAAGCTAGGTTTCTAACTAACTGTAGAGGGAGACTTTTCTCTCCCTCCAATGTATTTTATATTAATGGAACAAATTTCAAAATAACATTTATTTTTTCTAATTATAAAAGTAATATATGCTGTTTAAAGTTTGATTAAGTATTAAAATGAAAGAAAAAAGTAAAAATGCAAAAATGCCTCTAATTCCACTCTGAAGATAAAACTTCTTTAATATTTTGTGTAACTCCTGCCAACTTTTTAAAAACATATTGAGAAGATATATATACACATACGTGTGTGTGTGTGTTTCACAGGGCACAGAGGCATTTTTCCCATATCACTTAAAAGTATTTAAGTTTGATTTTAAATAGCAGCATAATATTTGCTTATATGAGCATGCTGCAGTGCCCTTTGCTGTATATT